AATGGTCATGTTCACCACAGTACCCTTTTTTGTATCCACTATAGTTAGTACTATTTCTGCTCCCAAAAGTCTCTTTTCTTTACTGTACATGAGGAAAGAGTAATAGTTGTCTTTCTAAGTCTTTCGTATTTCATAAAAGTTATATTTGGATTCATCTATTTTCCTAAAAGTAATACAGATTCATTCTTGTTTATGACTAAATAAAACTCAGTTCTAAGTTTCTTCATGTTCTTTATTCATTCATTCACAGATATCTAGGCTGATTCAATACTTTGTTATTACTAATTCCATAATGAACATGGATACGCAAGCATCTCTACTATATGGCAACTTTGATTCCTTTGAGGATATACAAGAAGTAGTATAGTGGGATCACATGTTAACTATATTTTTAAGGTTGGTTTGGGGTTTTTAAACTTCCATACTGTCTGGGCTAATGTATAACACCATTAAAATTGATCAATTGTTCCTGTCCCTAAACTGGACATTCTCACCACATTTATTATTATTTTCATGATGACAGACATCATTCTCCTAGTTGGGGGGGGTGTCTATCCTGATTTTGATGGACAAGTAACCCAACATATCTGCAAAAACAGCCTTTTCTTTTTAATGATAACAAACTTAAAATGTTTTCTCTGAATAGGTTTTAACATCATTCAATTTAGTCTCTCCAAAATTTCCATCTTTATGATTGAATAGAATACAGCAAAAATTCTAAAAATTGGCTACTGATTTACACATCCATATTTATAGAAATTTTGAAATATGCTTTACCAGTTTAGTAAGAAATTGTTTTTTCTCAAAAAAAGCTTTGTTTGAATTCAATTTTTTTAAAACACAACAGTACTTTTGTTTGCAGTAGGAATGTGAGAAATATATTTAAGAATTTTTAACATTTTAAATTTCTACATCTAACCATGTTTGGGGAAAAATTCATTTTTTAAAAACATCCTTATAAAATCTGTTCTAATGATGCAATGGTGTCTTTTATTACTTGCTTTATTTACCTAAGTCCCTCTGAATTTCTTATGTAGGATTTTTTTTATAGAAATACTAACCCTTCTTTCAAATCTGAACTCAAATACAACCTATTCCAGAAACATTTTATTCAAATTACCTTAGCTGCCCTATAGTGTTTGATGCATGAATTTTCCTGAGGTAATGTTTAAAAAAAAAAGTGTCTACTCACTTCCAAATAGAGCCAGCACAAAGAGACCCAAGAAAACATTCCATCCAAGTCCAGCTTAGTTCATTGGGTTTCCTTACTGAAGAATGAGAAACTTGAGAGCAGCTACGTCATTGCAAAGGACCATCCCCAGTGTGTAGGAATCACAGGCAGTGAAGGGTGTCCACTGAAGTGTGCCACCCCCCATAAATTGTTTACTCCACATAATATAAGGAAGGAGAAGGGCCTTGTGAGGCTATCAGGAACGTTCTGAGTCACGTGAGTCCTTTTCCCACAGATGAAAGAGCATTAATAGGTCTGGTTTCTGCAAGGTCTCTTTTGAGTGACCATAACTGTTTCAACAAGGAATAAGCAGCTTCACTATACAAGTGTACTAGACATTTATACTACTCTTACATGTGATAAAATATGCCTTCCTTTCACAATTATTAAACAATATTTGTCAATTTTTATTCTAGTGAACATAGAAAATCGTTTTTGCAAGTAGATGCTTTAAAACCTTGTCACATTAAATCAAAGCCTGCTACTGTATTGAGAATGAATTGTAGCTGGGCTTAAATGTTTTCTAAGCATAATTTTCAATTACTATAGGCTTTTGGTTCAATAATATTGAGCTTTATAGTGAGCAAATGTGTAAATAATAAAACCTGCATATCACATATACAAAGGGACTTACAATTATTAAAAGCATTATATCATTAATTGTTGGAAAGTCAGCGATTAGGTGGATGACAAAGAACAGCATGGTGTTCACAAATGATTAAAATACTTTATATTCACCTTGTATGACTGTTACAAAACTTCCACCAATGAATGTATGTGAGGAGGCTTGAACTACTCTGTTACAGCATGACCTTTGGTATATTTGTCATTCATGAGACATGAAACCTTCATATGTAATGTTAAGAACAAATGTAATCATGAGAAAAATAGATAATGTAACATATAGGGAAGCAAATATTCTTCATGTGTATGTTGAGTTTTTTGCTTAATCACAACCTGGCAAATTATTCCCATTTTTTTGCAAGTAGAAATCTTGGCATATGTGATTTCTGTAGGGAAGATACCACAGGTGCTAATAGGTAAAACTGGAGATTGGCATTTTATAATCTGACTCCAGAGCTCAAGCCTTTAGCTACAATTATAAGTTGTTAAGAAAGTGTTGACTTCCAATATTGGTTTGAAGATAAAATTGAACACAAAGAAAGGTTTAGAGAACTACAAGACTGCTGCCAACTAACAATTTGAACTTCCGTGGAAAGGCTACCATAAATGCCCTTCCCGGAGAGTAAGATCAACAACTAACTTATCCATGGAGCCCTCAACTAAGGTCTGTTGGAAACAGAAGTAAACACCCATACATAAACACTGAGTCGAAGTAGGACCCAGATGCAGATGGAGAGGACAAGGCCAGGCAGCAGAAACACATAGAGACAGCTGACCTGAACAAGGAGGAGCTAAAGGGCCACCAGACTGATAGCTGGGAAGCCAGCATGGGACTGACTCAGGCCCCCCTGAATATGGGTCTCAGCCAAAAGGACTGAGCAGTCTAAGGGACCTCAGACAACGGAGCCAGGATGTATCTATCTCTGGTGCACAAAAGGTCCTTGCGAACACATCCCCCATGGAGGGATAACTGCCTTAACCTAGAGACAGGAGAGAAGCCCTAGTCCCTACTTCACATGACCTATCAGATCTACATGACCCCAAGTGGATGGCATTCCCAAACATATGGAATTGGGGTGGGGGGATGGGAGGGGAGTGTGGTTAGAGTGCAGGTGAGAGGGAAGAGAGGGTAAAAGGGAGGGAAGAAAGTGTTGACTTTATGTATTGTAAAACTAAGTTTTGTATAATATTAATTAACTTTTCAGAGTACTATGTTGTACAATTTCAACAATAGGACTTTTTAGATTAGCAGTAAATATAAAGCCATAAATTTAATCAAATTATTCCATTAAAATCCAATGAAACCTAAGCATAAACAACCACACACACACACACACACACACACACACACACACACACACACACACAAAACCTTTCAGAAGATACTATTCTTGTCTCCTTCCATTACTATATTCTTTAGGATAGTTATTCATTGTATCTTCAATAAATGTAGATGGTTTTCTGTAGTTTGTGACTCATTTAAAATAAAAACTCAAGCCTGTATCTTTTGCCAAGTATAGATTCAGGAGGCCCATCAAGTTTCTTTAGTTTGGAAAAGGCTCTTACCAATCATTCCCTAGCTTTCCTCAGCTTCCCAACTTCAGCTTCAGTGTGCAATTTAGAAAACAATACTGCCACCCAGAGGATACAGGCTGAAATGCACAGTCAAAAGAGGGAAGGAGTCATTTGCTTGGTTCTGGATTGCAGAAAGTTGTGTGTGATCTATTACTTGTGGAATTATTGAAATAGTCCAACTACTAAAGCCTGTAACTTGCATGCAATTCTTGATAGCTTATGTTTTCACCCTCAATGCAAGTAAAACAAAGTCATACGGATATAACCATCTCCTTGGTAAAAGTCTATTAACTTCCTAACAGCTACAGTGGGATTCCAAAGTATATGGGAAATATTCTAAATAGAAAAAAATGGCTAAAGCAATCAATGTTGAAGATAACAATGAGAACATCTAAAAGGCAGTTCTGATTCCACCTAAAACAAAACAAAACAGGGACTGGATAGATGGCTCAGTGATTAAGAGCATAGGCTATTCCTGCAGAGGACATGAATTCAGGTCCCAGTACCCACATGGTGGTTCACAACTGTCTGTATCTCCAGTTCCAGGAGTTCAATGCCCTCTTTTGACCTTTGTGGTACACATACATACAGACAGAAAAAACACTCATACATAAAAAATAAACAGCAACAACAAAAATCTTCTAGAAAAAAGAACTATCAATTTGGCTAATTTATTTTCTTTTTCAAATGCCTATGTCATTAGAATCCCAGCAGCATCAGGACCTCGAACCCAGACATGGTGCTAGGAAACAGACTGAGGCAGTTTTGTAGGATATTGTTGTTGTTGTTCTTACAAGTTAAGACACAATGCAATAAACATTTTCCTGAGTTTTAAATGGGGGGGGGTTGCATTTCTGTTGTGGAATGGACCCCCTAATCTGTGCAGTGGTACCTGAAGTCTTGTGTGTGCCCACCCCCAGCTAGGGACTTTGAACAAGCCAGTTTAGTTCCATGTCAGTTTTTCATGAAGATAAGATTTTGGAGTTAATTCATGTAAAGTGTTTGACAAAGGACTTTGTAATGGCCACATTGTAATGGCCACTACTAAAATGTGTAACAATTGATCTAATTCCTAGTTCTCGTTTACATTTCTTAAACCTGCAGATCCAATTCTTCAGAAACAGTTCTTGCAGGCAGTAGCAAATGCTCCTTTTTTACTTCAAATATCCCATTTACCACAACTCAACCTTTCCACAAGTTCACGTTTCAGCCAACAGGAAACAAAAGGCTTTGAGGCTCTTAAAAAAGTGTCCTTGGAAGAGCAAACATCTTCACAACCGTTAGATTTTAGAATTGATCTGCTCAGGAAAACGTTCGCCTCTCCTCCTCAGAGCCTTCCAACTAAAACGCAGCACAGAGGAACAATCATCGGGGAAAAATAACTCTGTCTGCAAACATTAGTTTATGCCACGCCCACTGGCGCGTTCACTTGCCTGGTTTCCAAGGAAACGCTCCATTTCGGCCGGTAACCGACGCACCGGAAGTCGCCCTCCCATTTCCGGTACTTCCGGAAGGTCCCGACACCTTTTTTGGCGTCTGCGCGTTGAGCGTTGAGTTTTGGCCCGAAGAGGCCGCCGTCAGGGGGCGTGTCTACGCAGCCGTGGTGCAGCCACCGGCGTTCACGTGCTGGAGATGGCGGCCGACCCTCTTCCTCCGTCCGCGATGGCTCAGCCGGGGACCCTGAACCTCAATAACGAGGTGAGCGCCGCGGGCCGAGACGGTGAGGGGTGGGGCGCCCTCGCAGCCTCCGGGGTCTCCCGCAGCGCGGGCGGCGGGTGGGTGCGGGGCTCCGGGAAGGCGGAGCGCGGCCGGCCGGCCGGAGACGGGAGCCAGGCGCGGCGGGTCGGGTCCCTGCTCTCTGGCTCCGCACACCCGTCCCTGCGGCGCTAGGGAGGTCGGTCCCTCGGTGTACAGTCACTTTTCATTGTTCTCTGTGCAGCGAAACTCGGCGATAGCCCCTTCCTCGTAAGGTTGCGGGATTTCAGGTTACTGAGGTGCTTGCTGAGTGAGTGCCTGGCCCCGAGTAAGCTCTCGGGAGACCTGCTTTTCCTTGATGGTCAGACAGGAAGGGATTCAGACTCCCGCGCACACAGCTTGATCGACAAGTCACTGATCTTGGATACACGCCCGATACCCCGTGTATTTCTCCCGGTACCGTTTCCTTTACCGCTGAAACGTCAAGAGCCATTTGTACTCGCTATCCCTAATTTACCACCGTGAGTTTTCAGGGCATGCTTTTACCAGCTCTTACACGGCGTCCTACAAAAGTAAACTTGAAGGGCAAGGATCGAACGCACACCTCACAGCTGCATGGAGTGGAAGAGTCCCTTACCCTGTGTGTGGGTTATAAGCAGGTCACTGTTCCGATTACACAGCTGTGTAGGGTGTGTTGTGTTGTTGCTTTCTTTCCAGTAACCTATGATAGACAATAAACGAAGATTCCCGCGGAAGTTTTTGAAGGAGGCATGGTCAGATGTGTGATATAATCCTTAATCTTTTAGGATCCTATACAGGAATTGCAGATAGTAATGTATTTGAAGGCCTTGTAGGTATGTAGGACGCTTGTAGGCAGAGAAAGGTTGGTGGTAGGGCTAGAAAAACGCTCACTGGTGAGAATTAACAAATAAGTCACAAAGGGTCATGTCAGGGAATCAGTCGAGTAAGGTTCCTTTCCCACTTCAGTAACTTGTAGGCTTTTTCAAAATAGCTAAATATGACCATTAGAAAGAATTCACTAATTGAATTCAGCCTGCTTTCCATGATGTGACCACCTGTTTCTGTCATATGTGCATGTGGGGGTGTCCACAGGAACATATGTGCTCTATAAATGTTTTCTGGGTGACCAGATGAATTTATCAAATTAGAAATCATAACATATCCCAATTTAATATGTCCTCACAGATAGAGGGTAAAGAGGACAGAAAGTAGTGGAAATGTTGATGTTATTAAGGTCAAAATAAGAATGCAAATGCAGTCATGAATCACTAATGGAAACAGGTTCTGAAATATGTGGCATTGGGTAATTTTGTCCTTGAACCACAAAACCTGAATTTCTGTGACATCACTATGATGAATTATTACGGGACCACTGCCCTGTGTTAAGTCTCTTCAAAGTTTATGTGGCACATGACTCTATTGATAGATCTACGTAAAAGTAGAGAAGCATAACGAAAGAAGGAATAAAGATGACTGCCTTGAAAAAGCTCATTAAACATACCATTTTTTCATAGGAATTTGACAACAATTCACCCAAAAGGGAAGCCTTTGTGGAAAGTTCAGATTCACTGTCACACTCGTTCTCATCACTGCTGCTGTAGCATCGAGATTATACCCCAAATAAAGCTGTTGTGCCCTCCTAGCTACTGAAGTTGACGCTATTCTTCAGCTGTTGACTTCTTCAGCACAGACTTAGTCAGGTCATTTCCTTGTTTTCATACTTTTGGATAAAATTGAGCAATGCATGTCAGTCAGTCTATGTACTCAGCTGTATTGGCTCCCTTCTAGTCTTACTATAGGCCCTTTGCACACGCTACTCCTGGTTCTAGAATTTCCTCTCTCTAGTCCTACTTACAACTTTTTTTCTTAAGAAACCTATTGCTAGCTTTTATCCTTTGTGTAAGTTCTGGAATCACCTCCTTGTCAGTGTTTGTAATGGCATTTACATGGGAGTATATGTAAGATTTATTTGTTTATTTTGTGTAGGAGGGAAGGTATGGCATATTTCTGCCACACGTGAAAATCAGAGGATAATTCCTGGGAGTCAGTTTTCTCCTTATATTGTGTGAATCCTAGGGATGGAACTCAGTTGTCAGGCTTAGGATCCTCAATATTTTTGTTTGTTTGTTTGTTTGTCTGTTTTTGTTTTTTCTAGACATTGTTTCTTTGTATTGCTTTGGAGCCTGTCCTGGAGCTAGCTATGTAGACCAGGCTGGCCTTGAACTCACAGAGATCCGCCTGCCTCTGCCTCCAGAGTCCTGGGATTAAAGGTATATGCCACCAACCCCTGGCAATCCTCAGTATCTTAAGTAATACTTCTTAACTTGGTTCAGGGAATAGTTCTGATGTTCTATATCTGTCTGGTGTTTGGGGGCGGGCGGGCGTGGTGGTGGTGACTGTCGAATAAAGTGGTTCCTTTTTTGATATTCTTTATCAAATTTATAAAGATTTTAAACGTGTGGTTCCGTCTTTGAAGTAATGGTATTCATAATTGTTTTATAGTTTTGACTTTTTTTTTTTTTTTTTTAAGGTATATGGTGATCTGGATATATAGCTCAGTTGTAGAGTGCTTGCCTAGCATGTACAAGGCCTTGGATTCAATCCTCAGTACTGCCAAAATAAATAATAAACTCTAGGATTGTATTAATATATTTTATTTAATTTTAAAAGTTTTATAATATATTCAATTGTGAAAAGTGAGGCCTTTCAAAAATTGTGTGGAAATGAGAGGGAAAAAGAAATCTCCAAATTGTTTGACTTTGTTTTTCCTCCCATCAAATTAGAATTAGTAAAGCAGGCATGCACAGTTTAATATGTAGATGCTATGGCATTGGCATTGAAAGAATTTGTAGGACTTTAAGTAGATTGCTTCTTCTCATCTTTCCTTGGCCGAAGGGGGGAGTGAGTGAGTGTGTGTGTGTGTGTGTGTGTGTGTGTGTGTGTGTGTGTGTGTGTGTGTGTCTTTGATTGGGTTTGGGGTGTGGCAGGCCACTCTTTGGTTTTGATTTTTGTTGTTATGATTATATGAGATAATTGCAGTTAGAAGATATAGTTGAAAATGTTCAGAAGTAATTTGTGAGTTTGTATGTGCTGTTAGGAGCAATATATGAAACCGTGTGCTGTCCTGTCGGTGTTGTAACTTACCTCTTACTCTAGGGTATGTGCATTATACATGCTACCATTCACTGGTCTCTGAGCCCTTATTCTTCAGATTGGCTGTCGGGGTACCACAATGCAAATAACTCATATTTAATAAAGACCATGAAATAAAAATTTTCACTATGGTATGTTACTATTGATTTATTATTTTTAAATTTTTGCATCTACTTTATAAATAAAAGGTAAATGCATACACATAGGAAAGAACTCATATTTAACAGGATTTTGAACTATCTGTGGCTTCAGACATCTACTTTGGATATCAGAAAATACTCCCCTTAAAGGAAGGAACTGTTGTAATGATACAAGTTAAATGCCTAAGAACAAATTTATTATCTTCCATGTATTATGAATGATAAGAATATCAAAAATATGTTTGTATGTGTATATGAAGTTTTATATCATAGTTGCATAGTATTTGAAAATTATTAAAGTGATAAACCTGCTCATCTTAGAAAGACCACGTTTGCTTGTTAACTGTTCCCATGAATTTTGCTAGGTGGCAGCATAAGTTTAATAATGGCAAAATTACAGGCAGTCACTTACGATTTTAGATGTTTTTTAGAAATTCTTGTTAATAAAAAAATATTTCAACAGTGTAATTCAGCAGTAAGTTATTATCTAAGTGACCAACCTAGAGTTTCCTTGTAAAGGCATAGTAAGGTCCATAACTGAAATACTTAAAATAACTTAGAATATATGTCCTTGTAACCTACATTTATTTAATAGTTCTCAGGGTTTTGCTGCATCACACATAAAACCAGCTTCCCCCCCCCCCCATAGCTTGAAGGTTATTATTACTCTTTGGTTATAGTTTTTCTCACCTATATGTCTCATTCTTTTGTACCATGTCTATACCCAGTGTATAGTATTGATAAATATTTTTAAACTTCATGTATGTGATACTGTACTATAGAAATGTGAATGTCCTTTTGTATGCTCTTTATACATAGTGTCTTGTAAAACATTTTCTGATGAATGGAGCATGGAAAGCATTGTGTGACCCTTTCCTATTAAGCATGCCTTCTAATACTCTCAGATGTAAGATTTTTATTAAAGATTGCCAAAATTTTCTCCATAAGGACTATAGATGTCTTTTCTACTAGCAGTTTCTGAGCATCTAACAATGCCCTGAAACTGTTGAAGAAAGGTAAAGGTATAGTATCAAAAATGGTAATGATGAGTCTCTGATCTCAGAGGTCAAAAGGATTTCTCATAGAAAAATCATATGCTCCAATCCCAGCAGAGTAAAATACTAATTGCTAGGAGTGCTGTGGCTTTGAAAATAGAATACTAACAGTTCTATTACACATACATTTTCAGCCTTGTCTTCCTCTAGTGTTTATAGAAGTTTGGTTGCATCTATCTGAGCATGTTAAGCAGACCTTTGGTTAAACTGTAGGTGTAAGTATGGAAAAACGTTCCAGTGGCTTTATTTCCCTTGATAATCTTTTAAATTTTGTCTTTTTTTTTCCTCAGGTTGTGAAGATGAGAAAGGACGTGAAGCGAATCCGAGTTTTGGTTATCCGAAAACTTGTCAGGAGTGTTGGCAGACTGAAATCCAAAAAGTTAGTATGTGAAGTAACAGTCTGGTAACTAATAAAATGTCAAAAATATCTTTAATATTTGTAAGTTAGAGAAATGAGTATACATTCAGCCATTCAGCACTTGTTTTCTCTATAGAAATGATCTAGATGGGAGAGAACATGCTGTGTCAACATGCCTTTGTGTTTTTGGAACTTTTTTTTTTTTTTTTCCATTTTTAAGAAAGTTCTCCTTTTCCTGTTTGCAAAATGAAATTGTCTTCAAGGTTCCTTATGTGTTTTATGTAACTAAAAGTTATTTCAAAGTGTTAATAAGTCTAAGATGCCTACCTTGAATCGGTTATGAATATTTCATCAGCCTTTCTTTGTCTTAGTATTTTGAGATTTTCGGTATCTTGTCAGTTTATTTTGTGCTGTGTGATGTTTTTGAGTAAAATAATATTTTTTTATTTCCAGTATAAATAATGTTAATGAACAACTCTTTACAGTTCTTATTAAACACAAGGATTTAGAACACCTTTAAATGTGTGGTTTGTGATTTTCTGTTTGTTCATAAATGTCCCAGAAGATAACCTTCCCTTCTAGTGAAGAGAATGAATATCTTTATTTTTTTCTTTAATTCTAGAGAACAATTTTCAATTAATGAAAGTATCTCCAGCCATTAGCAGTGTCTTAGGAGGTTTTTTGTAGCATGGGTTCTAGTTGGTCTTAATAATAAAAACCCAGAGTCAGATATAGGGGTAAATGCTAAAAAGTCAGAGACAAAGGAACACTTACACCTCACCAACTTCTCAGCTGAAAAGAGCAAGTTCCTGTCTCCACCCTGCCTTATCACTTCCTCTCTCTGCTCAGCCATATCATTTCCTGTTTCCTCCTCCCAGGTGCTGGGATTAAAGGTTTGTGCCACCACTGCCTGGCTTCTATGGTTAAGTAGTGGCTAGCTCTACTCTGAACTCCAGATAAGCTTCATTTGTTAGGGCACAAACAAAATATCACCACAGCTTTTATTACATTAAATAGAGTTTTTGATCACCATTTGACCTCGACATTAAAAGACTGGAGAAAAGCAACCAGTCAGTGAAATGATTCCAGGACAGCATGTCTTGTCCAGTTTCCAACACCGTGACAACAGGTGTGTGTTACACTGGGTTGAAAGCAGCAGTACAGGGTGGAGTGCTTGTCACAGGGGCTTTACTCAAAAACATAAAAAGCTTAAAATCAAGACATGGCTCTAAAATAATGTTTTTCTTGCTAATAATCGTTTTTTACAGGGGAACTGAAGATGCCCTATTGAAAAACCAAAGACGAGCTCAAAGGTTGCTTGAAGAAATCCACGCCATGAAGGTAAGGGTGTGTGAATATGCACTGTGTGCTGTGTTGCCAGCCCATATCTTGTGTGCATGGTGCTTCTTTAAGGACTCCAGGGTTGCTCAAGGCTTATTTGTGTGGATGAGCTTGGTGATGAGAGGCACGTTTACAAAACTTCAATATGTGTAAGCTTGCATGCTTCCCTGTTTAAGTACTAGACTAATTTGAGTTGAAACTGCCAAGCTAAACTCATTTGTGTTTTATAGTAACTCATGTCTACGGCTTTTATTTTTACTGTTACTTAGGCATGTGTTCTAAGCTAAGGTCAATAGTTAAAGGGTTCGTGCTGTTTGGAAAAGGGGGTGGTGGTGCTGGTGGCTGACATCATGCTTCTCCTGTTGCCAGCTCAATAAATTTTTATGTGGTGGTGTCAACATTTTATTAGGTTCTGTAGAACTTAAAATAAATGTAGTGTTGAACCAACATGGCCCATATTGTTGTCTTCTCAGCCAGACTCTTCTGTAGCATAATTTTTAGGTCTTCTCACTGCCCTTTCTTTGTGGAAACTTTCATTTACAAAATGACATACCATTAAATGTCTGGAAGACTTTTTTATTGCTGAACTTAAAAACATTTGGTACCAGCAATTATCTTAATTGCAGGGTAATTTTGTGTATATGTTGGACTTTTATAATCTGGTATAGCTTTCAAGATAAAAGAGCAAAATATTCTTTAACAATATTTTAATTTAATTGAGTTAAATTATCAGTGCTTGTCACTCTTCCTTTTTAAGAAATGGAAAAGTGTTGAACAGGATAGATACAGTTATCCCAGTTAATATAAATATGGGTGTGGGAAATGATTCTTTGGTGTGAAGCATATTTATTTCTATTTGCTACTCCTCCTATAGGACTATCAGATACATAAAATCCATTTGATAGACTTTTCCTGTAATTTCTTCTAAGGATTCAACTTTGTAATTTTAGTTATTCACAGATTTTGAACCATTAGATAATTGCTGATTTCTCTGTAAGAAGAATGAAGTCCATATAAGAGACATGTAGTGTGTAAGGAGTTTGATGGATAACAAATGACTCCATCTTTAGAATACTTGCATTTGTAACTCTTGATAATATGCTTTTGGTTAGCGAGTTGTCATCTCTGATCAATATGTAAGACTAGTTTTCTGTTCTTTAGTTTCATTAGCAGGAAAGTCAGACCCAGTGCTAGAAACAATTACAAGGTTCCTATGTCTATCTTCCCTGCTATGTGAGAGCACTTACTTTTGCCCTAGAGAGCCACAGTTCACTTTATAGTTTACATATTTGAATTCCTGGTGGGGGTTAGGGTATTCTGGTTTGGCTAGTCTGATTTTTCTTGTTTCTTTTGTTTTTAATCTCTTTTTTGTATTGTCTTAAACACAGTATTATATTTAAACATAAAAATTCACAATAGGATTACTAGAGCAACTATATATTTACTTAAAGTGTTTAATTTTATTTCTGATTCATGGTACTTTTTACAGAATCAGCCTTTTCTAAAAGAAGCAAATATATTTAACATTTCAATTGAAAGGTCTTTTGTGAGGAAGTGTTTTTTTTACATATGGGAGTATCAAAGAAATAGCCACAAAACAGTAGACTCATGGTCACAATTATATTTGGAGAACAACCTCTACTTAGTACTATTTTTCCAGAGGAGTTTTTTTTGTTTTTTTTTTTTTTGGTTCTTATAACACTAGATTTTTATGGTTGAGCTCATGACATACTGTCTTATATTTGTTTGGTATGATAATAAGGTATTTTGTTGCAAGATGTCATCCTCATGAAGAGAACCCCATCTATTTTTAGAAATGGGAGTAGTTTCTTTTTGGCCACTGGGGAGGGTACAGGGACCAGATCTTTATGATTTTATAAAATGATAGGTTCTAATTTTATGTACTATAAGTATGAGCACCATCTCTGATGCTGTTTCTAATGATGCTTTGTCTCTTAAAGTGTCAGTGTACACACTGACTTCCAGAACAAGTTCTTTCTCATTGAGAGGCAGCTTATCAACTTAAAGAGATCCCCAGGTTATTTAGATGGAGACCAAAAGATAAAACTGAAGCAACAAACTTGGCTTTTTATGTGAATGCTGGGGCTTGAACTCCAATTTTCACTGTAACAACATTACCTACTAAGCCATCTCTGCGGTTCCTGACACCTTACCCTTACAGTACCGGTTCTAAGGAACCCTTCCCAGCACTGCCATTCTATTCCAGAGCTATTGACCCTCTCAGTGTAGTTCAGTATGTTTCTGCTGTGGTCTGTTTTCACAGCATTCCTACTATTAACTAGGGACGATGTCTTAAGCTGTTGAGTCAGCTTACTAAGTTAATGTTCCTAACATATAGTGATATATTTGGCATATGAATGGCTGAGTGACTTTTTAGTGCTGGGATTATTTTGAATCCCCAGACAAAAGTAAAATAATGCTAAACTGTTACTAAAAGGATTATGAAATCAAGTTTTGTTTTATTATTTATTAGTGTTAAGTGTCAGAAACCTACCTCATTGTTGTATAAAGTCACCTTAGCGCTCTAAGGCCATATAACTTTTGGTTTTGCATTGTCATTTGTGTGTTTTTGCATGTGTGAGTACATGGCAGATGTGTGGAGGTCAGAGACAAGGTCAAGGGGGTCAAAATATAGTCTCCTGACTGAGCCATCTCACCAGCCCTCTAGTCCATTTATTGAAATGCAGAACCTTTCTTCTTAAAATGGAACAAGATCCCCTAGGTCTTGTGACCCTTATTTAGTATATACTGTCCCCCCCCCCCCCGTACTCAGGAAACACCATTTTAAAACTGCTTTTTGAATTGAAATCCTAGCTTGTTTTCTAGAATGTAATTTCTTCAGCTGAAAGTCTGAGCTTTGAATAGGCCATATTCCTGACCCCTTAATATTGTTTCATTGTAGGTCCTGTAATATAGACATTATGTCAAGCATATGGTGGCCTTACCTTACTCTTCTAAATACAAGCAGAAGTTTCAAATGTAAGTGGTGTCTGTTCTCTGAAACTTCCTACCTCTGGGGAAAGCAGGCCAGACTGCAGGATGAGTTAGTAAATGTAAAATGCTCTTGCTGATTAGGTTACAGTGCATACCAAGATTTTGAATAAAGAATTGATTCTGGAATTGGTCCATCCAAATAAACTTCCTTCTCAACTGAGCAGGTGCAAAAGATTTGGAGTAGAAAGTGCTGGGTGTGGGATTGGGGGGGGGGGTTGTTTTTAATTTGATTTTTCAAGTTTTGTAATTCTGGAAACATGAACTTTTCACCCTGTCAGGATGTTTCCTAATAACCATGAAAGGATCCAAAGCACTCTGAACCATTAGTGTAAAAAATAAGAAAAGCAGCAGTAAGTTCAACTCCTATAAGATGGGTTATGAACTCAATTTGGGGGTGAAATGGAAACAGATTTTTAATTGTTTGTTTCTGTATACTTTAAGTTTAATGTAATTTTAAAGATCTGTTTACTTTTGATATTCCTGTGTGTGGATGTTTTGCCTGCATGTGTGCCTGGTACTCACTGCTGGGAGATGGCAGCAGATTCCCCAGGAACTTGAATTGTAAGCTCTCAGATACGTGATAGAAACCAACCCCATGTCCTCTGCAAGAGAAATAAGTGCTGCTGACCACTGAGCCCTTTCTCTGTTTCCCTAAACTGATCTTTTAAAATTATATGTTGTAACATAAGACCTTTTTAATGAAAGTACACAATGTACCTCGTACATATTATTCCCTATGAGTCTTTTAAAATCCCTCTTTTCATCTTCCCTGTTCCATTAATCGCCTTGTTCCCCAGACTATTCTGCTTCTGCTCACAAGATATCAGTACATTTGTGATTTTATGTATCTATAAATTTAGGATTTACAAGTGAGAAAAAGCATGCAATATGGAGAAAAAGGGTTTCAAATATTTATAAGCATCAACTTAAACATAGAACTGTTGAATTTTTATGATGAAAACTGTACTTCTGTTTTTTTCTGTATGTTAGAACACACTAATACTTTGCATATGAAATTAATATTCTATGACAGCAAGATAAGGTCATTAATATGTTTTCCTTGAATATGAAAATGTCTGAGGAGATGGCTCAGCAGTTAAGAAGGCTGCCTGTTCTTCACAAAGACCTGGGTTTGATTCCCAGCACCCATGAGGCAGATCTGACTAACATACAAGTCATCAGTAACTCCAGTTCTAGGGGCTCTGGCACCCTCTACTGGCCTTAGTGGACACTGCATGCACATGGTTTCAAGTTTTGTAATTCTGAAAATGTGAACTTTTCCCTGTATCAGAATGTTCCCTAATAACCATGAAAGTATTCAGAGCACTTTCAGCCCTTAATGTAAAAATTTCACATGCAGGCAAAATACCCATACACATAAAAATAAATCACTAAGTGAATAAAACAAGAATTATTCTAAGTGGGGGAAATTGCTCCAATTTTTAAGTCTTGGCAGTGTCTAGTAAGGTTGTAGACATCTCCTGTACATGTTTCCCCTTTTCCTTTCTAAAGCAGTCAAGCTCTGTCTAATCTACTGTTTTTGTGTGGGGTGAATCAGGGAGAAAACTTGCTGTTTTAAATCCTCATAACTGTTGAAGTACAGTATGATAGAATTTGCAGGTTTGGGAAATATCCATTCTGCTCATCACAGTCTAAGAGAACATCCTACTTTAATTACCATGTGTCTGATTAGTCATAAAATTGATAACTGTAAAATAAAATGAAAGCAAGCTGACATTTCTAGGAAAGCTATTAAAATTTCATATTATACATACAGGTTTTATACATTTCAGTTTAAAGCTTAGTATGTTTATATTACAGTAGATTCCTAATTTTGCTGTCATAGTGTACTGTTCTGTTGGAAACAAACACAGCCAAAGAGGTGCTCACACCTAGGAGAACAATTGTTTAGTTTAGTTTCTAGCGTGATTTTATGAGGAAGATACTAACTTAGAACTAGAAAGTAAATATGAACTACCTAGGAATCAGTGTTGGGGTAAGTGGAATGCACTGCAGACAAAGCACATGGGTATGTAATGCATGGTGGGTATGTGCTTTGCAGGACTCTAGATCTGGTACATTGAACTGTACACAGACTATGCGAACATCATTTTTTATTATTTACTTGTCTCGGTTTCCTTCAGAATGGATGTTACTGTGTCTCATTAAGTTTCCATCTCGGTTCCTTGATTGTCGTGTAATGCAGATGGTTAATGTATGTCTTTAGTAAAGTAACTATCATTTCTGGGTTATGGAATGAATGGAGACATAAAGGTTTAAGTAGTGACTAAAATTGCAGGTGGCATTCTGTTTTACAGCATTTTTAAAAATATAAACACATCAAAGTCTTTTGAGCAATTGTGCTTTATAAAATGATGAAACTGAAAGCAGAATTGAGGAATGACTGGCTGGAGAATAGATTGGATTAATATTGTGTGTAGGAGACAATGCTTCACAGATCTATCATACCTGTGTAAAACAGATATTTATTAAGCCTTTGTTTTTACATGTATGGTCCATGACTATTTCAGTTACATACTAACTTAGTTAAGGTTTCTGATGCTGTGATTAAAAAAAAAAAAAAAAATGGCCAAAAGCAGCTTTGGAAGAAAGGAGTTTATTTCACTTCCACTTGTACATCACAGTCCATCATCAAAGGAAGTCGGGGCAGGATCCTGGAGACAGGAACTGATGAAGAGGTCATGGGTCCATTGCTTACCTACTGCTCAGCCTGCTTTCTTACAACCAAGGACCATTAGCCCTAGGACGGTACTGCCCACAGGCCAATCTCAATTAGATTCCTTTCAAAATGTTGGTAGCTTGGGTAGCGTAAAACTAACCAGTACAATTGGCCCCTTGTCAGCTTCTCACACAAATACATCATCACTATTTAAGTAGAACCTTTCCTCTTATTTATCCCTAAGATGACAAGTTAATATAAAACTCAAATTACTTTAGAAGTCCTGTAGTCTTCAAAAGTCTTTAAAATTCCAGTCTCTGTGGACTCCTGTAAAATCAAAAGTAAGTTAAACACTTTCTTATTTCAAGCATGAACAAAGCAAAATCAAACTCCCAATAGTGAAAAGTCCTCAGTGTTCAATGTCTGGGAGTCACTCACGATCTTTTTGATTCCTTCAAAGGTCACTTCTCTGGCTCTGCCCTTTGCTTCACACACAGCTTGTTTCCTAGGCCACAGCTGGCTCCACTCCTCAGCTACTGCTGTTGCTGCTGCTGTTCTTGGCAGTCAACCCGTGGTACTGGCCTCTCTAAACTGCTGGGGTCTTCTGCTGCAAATGGGCTGCACTTTGACCAGTAGCCTCTCCTGGTCTCCCCTCAGGGACTCTGACCCTGTCTCATGATTTATTTTAATCATGAGACCTGTGTGTGCTTGTGAGTGCAGTTTTCTGAAGAGGCCAGAGGATGATCCCCTGAAACTGGGCATTCTGGCAGTTGTGAGCCATCTGATATATATGGGTCCTCTGGTCCTCGGGGAAAGGAGTATGTGTTCTTCACCGCTAAGCCATCTCTGATGAATGTGAGTGGTTTAGATGTAAGTGTGTGTGTGTGTGCACTTCTGTCCTGGTAGCTGTGGAGGACAGAAGAGGGCACTGAATTCCTGGAACTGGAATAACAGATGGTTGTGAGCTGCCATGTGGATGCTGGGGATTGAACCGAAGAATTCTGGGTCATCTCGTTAAATAGTCTGCCCATTTCAAACATTATCCTTTGGGCTCCAGCCACTGTACCTTGTATATAGAGTAATGATCTCTACAACCTCCCTCCATTCCTCTGCTTTTTTTTTTCCCCCAGTTGCAGTTTTTCTTTGTAGTCAAAATAACGGGGATTATTTGCTGTACTTTTCTTCTGTGTCACTACAGTTATTCTTAACTGCAGATTCACACTCACCCTCAAGTATTGTTAATAAAGTTATTTCTCCCAGGCCGAAGTTTATCTTTTACAATACCCCCTACAAAGGATCATGTACATAGTATCCTTTGGATTTCTGCAAGTTCAAAAGTATATTTATTTGTTTGTTTGTTGTATTTGTTTTTGTATTCATAATTAAAGCGTGGCTGACTACATATGAATCCTTGAAAATGTACTGAACTTCAGTTGTGTGTTGCTGTAAAGGGAATCAAAATAACACTTAGAGGCATTTGTTTTAGCCTTTCTTGTATATACGATAGTTTAACTGTGGTAGGTGTTATTTCTTCTAGAAGTTAATAGTTTCTTAAATCAAGACACAAAAGGAATTTCAATCACGTTGTTCATAGATTAACTAGACTTGTTTTCTTCACAGGAATTGAAACCTGATGTCATAACTAAATCTGCTCTTGGTGATGATATCAACTTTGAAAAAACTTGCAAAAAGGTATGTCTGTGTAAGAGATGAGGAACCAATGTGGAGCACCTTATTATCTCCTGGCAATCATTCACCTTCGAAGTCTTTTTAACTACTCCCTTTTTCTGATCTCCATTACCAAATTTTAATAACTAAGTGTATAAAGTAGTAGAAAGTATAAGAAATTGACTTACATCACTGCTAAAAGTTTGGATTTTTGTTTTGTTTTTTTGTTCTTGGTACTTGGGGTTTTCACCAGAATTCATCTCTTCTGTCATTAATGCCCAGAGGCTTTGCAGTCTTAAAAGGATTTTTTTTTTTCTTTTGTTAAAAGATTCATCTGCTCTCTGCCTACTTAAAATGCAGGTCAAATTTGAGATGTTAAGCATCAATTTCTACTTCTTGTTTTTCCATTTATTTATTTTTAAGAGACTTTTATTTACTTACTTTTATTATTGTTGTGCATTGTTGTTTTTGCTTGCACGTCCCTGGAATTGTAATCACAGACAGCTGTGAGCTGCCACATGGGTGCTAGGTATTCTTAACTACTGAGCCATCTCTCCAGCCCCTCCATTTATTTTTTTACAATTGCTTTTCATTTGCTATATTGTATGTTCACCAAAGACATAAAAAAACATTCTATTAGGATGTATCCATTTCTTTTCTTGTCTCCACTAAGGAAAAAAAACACCAGGAGCAGAGAGAGAATTTATTTATTTTGGCTCAAAACATAAGGAGCTATTTTACATTGAGACAGATTGTTGGAGGTATAGCGGTTATTATTAGAGTATTAATAGTATAGATAAGCAGGTGTTAGGCAGCATAAGGGAATCTCTGGGGAGAGTGCAGAGCCTTGCATCAGAGAGACAGCATGGCAGGGTCTCTTAGGAGGACTGAGAACCCACTGTCAGGAGGAGTCGCTTAGAGTTTCTGGGGATGTGAATGATTTTAAGAGCCAGGTGTTCAGATGGTTCCCAGGCCAGAGTCAAGGATAGGTATGAGGAGCTGGATATCTGGTCACTGATCCCTTCTTTCATATACAGAGATGTGTCGCACAGGATTCTGTTAGCCAGGGTCTCAACAGATGTTGTCTCAGTAGTACTTAAGTATCTCAAAAGGAAAAAGGCTGCTGCTGCTGCCAAATCTAACATTCATTACCTTATGTCTCTACATCATGATGTAGAGGGCATGGTAGCTAGGATTGCTCTATCTATGGCAGTGGCTTCCTGTGAGACTTGGCTACATTTTGATGGATCCAGAAGCAGAGACAATATGGATTGATACAGGCAGGGCTGTACTCCAAGCCATCATTGATGGTGCCAAAAGGCCTTCCTTCCCAAAGGATCCTTAACATCATCCTAAGACAACTTCTAACAGGGGCCAAGGAAGCACCTGATACTAAAAGAAATTTCATATTTGAGATATATTAAATGTAGACATTTGGTCCACTTTTGAAGGTAGGACCTAGGAAGCTATGATTGGGATTTAATGTAAGCTAATGGAAGGTAAATACCAACCTCAGCGCAAATCTAGCAGGTTGACTATTGCTGAGCTCTTCCCTGTCAACCAGAAAGGAATGCCAGTAGCTAAAAGCTAAACTACTACTTTTAACAATTTTAAAGAGTAGCATGAGTGATTAAATGAATTAACATTTTAATGACCTTTCCTCAAATTGCCATGTAACGCCCATCCACCTATCACATTTTACCTGTGCATATCAAGTAGTAAGCCTTACTTAATTTCTATACAACTCTCTATATGTACCCACAGTTTGTCTGTTGTTTTTCTCTCCAATGGAAACATTTCATTTTCTTATGATCAGCATTTAAATTAGAAAGCTGTTTTCAGATGTAATATAATTGATACTTTAAAATGTTTTTATCTCCACAAAGTTTTACCATGATGGTTTTGATCAGCCAAATGAACTATTTTGCATTTTCTTCCTAAAAGTTTTACAGATAGGGTAAAGAGTTCTGGAAACAAGCTGTGTCTGCAGAGAGTGATTGAAGTCAACTTTGGTATGAAGGGATTGGAATGCCACAGACCCAGAGACTAATTAATTACCATGTCTGGGCTAGTTCCATAGCCCCGTGAATGGACAGTTTTCCCACCTGTGTCATAACTAACACCCTGTGACTAATAGATATAACCCTTTGGAAGCTATTAACTTAAGCTCACCACTAATTATTTGCTTAAACCAAAAGCTGAGAATGTGATTGGCTAGCTTCTTAGGCCTATAGGAAAGCTTCCCCTCTCTTACTCTAACCACCTTTCTGATGTGCTCACCATTTTATTTTAAACTTGATTTATGAATTTTTTTGTTCTGTGAAACGATAAAATGTCATGAAACTGCTTCCATGTTTAATTTGGAATTTGGGATTACCTAAATCTGTGTTCCTGGCCCATGGTCAATTAAAATGGCTCCAGAGTAAACTTTCTCTTATTCTTTTTAAGGTGAGAGCTGTGCATTGACAGTAGTAACTTGTTGATTTATTTCTTTAGATAAAATATAGAATTGAACTTAATCCCAGTTTGTTATTACAAGCATTAATACTCATGGTCTTGCTCTAGCAGTGGGTTTATAGCTTGCTTAGTGACATAACAAAGAAATCAAAGAGTTGATGTTACACATAGGTAAACTTTCCCTTTTAGACACTTGTTTCCATCCAGAGTGTATTTGAAGAATTCTTTTCAAAGTTGAATAACAAATGCCTTTGTGTTGATAAGAAATACCCAAATGCCAAAATAAAATTTTTCCATTAAAAGATGAGGGTGTTTTCCACTTTTTTAATTTATTTGAAGTGGAAGAAACTGGAGGTGTGTGAAAACCACAGTTTCCTGAGAATTTTCCATGGCAAACACTGTCAGTTTTAAACAAGGAAAGCTGTGGTTTCCTTCATCCAGCATAAGCCTGTAAAGGCTTTGCTTGCAGGTGTTACCACTTCAGAGATGCCACAGCCCTGGATCATTGCACGGTGGACTCATCACAGGGTCTGCTCCTTTTGTGTGTCCCTGTGACTTGTGTCTCAGATGAAGTTTATCACATCCGCTTTGGATTACTCATTTATGGAGATACTGTAGCCTTTTAAACTAGGGTCACAGCATTTAAGTCAATAAATGTATGGAAGGAGTAGAGAGAAGAGGTCGGCCCTGCACAGTTCCTTGTTGCTTAGTTCCTGCACAGAACACATGCAAGTGCTACTTTGCTTTGGGTTTGGTTTTTTCACAAATGTTTTTACTTTTTTTTTTCCCCCCCTGAAAGACTTAAAGTAGACTTCAAACAATTTAGTGCAGAAATAATTTGCAGTTAAGTCACAAATGATTTGTGAATTAGAGGACAACTTGTGTGGACATATTAGACCAAACTGACAAAGCTGAGTTTGAGTTCCAGTTTGTTCCTACATAGCTAAATTAAATGTTCTTTTGTTCCTACATAGCTAAATTAAATGTTCTTTAAATCAAGTGTAGATTGTTGGTTTGTTTTGTAGAAGAAAGTTCATTGCCTATAATCTTTTGTTAGTATTTGTATGCTAAAATTAAAGTGAAGCATTATCTAAGAAGAATCTTTGTTTGTTTGTTTGTTTGTTTGTTTTTCAAGACAGGGCTTCTCTGTGTAGCTTTGGAGCCTGTCCTGGAGCTAGCTGTTATAGACCAGGCTAGTCTTGAACTCACAAAGGTCTTCCTACCTCTGCCTCCCAAGTACTGGTATTAAATGTGTGCACCACCACTGCCACTACTGCCTGGCCTAAGAAAAATCTCAATAAATGTTTTAGAAGTTTGAGGTGTTAATTTTGCTTTCTTGGGAATAAAATTAAACGCTTGAAATGTTAAATTTTACCTTCTTAGAAATAATCTATCATGGCACTATTTTTATTCAAATTAAACTTTTAACTTGTCCTGTAGTGTGTTGTGAAAGGAAAACTGGTGGCAGAATCTTATCTGAGCTCTCAGAAGGGAAAATAATTCAGGAGACGGAAATGACTGTAGGAAATACAGGCTATTTAAAGATCTTTAGACATGCCATTGGAGATCTCCCTGATCCAGGGATGGATCTAGAGATAAGATATGGAAGAGGCTGGCCCCAGTGGGTATGTAAAAGAGTAACATGTGTCATCAGTGTCTCTTTATGAGCACAATAAGTGTTTCAGAATTCTGTGGTCCTATCCAGTCATCAAATATTTGTGAAGTGTTAGTAATGAGCTAGTTATTGTGTTGTTTTCTAAGTATATATCAAGGATAGAAGACATTCAAAACATGGAGAAAACATTATATTATTCTAGGTCTCCATTAAATGAAACTTCAAACATTATTGTCATAGCATAGCTTAGCACTGATAAATTGAGTCTTAATAACTTCATTTTCTTACACATTTAAACTCTCTGAAAGTAGAAGCTGTGATTCCCTTTTTTTTTTTTCAAATTTATAACCCATGATATGTAGCACAATTCTAAGTTTAAATAGGTTTAAATGGTAACATTATTTTAATTATTCAAAATCAGTTATATTTTAATTTTTGTCTTTAGAGTAGATTACATAGGTAACCTGTCTAGAGAGAATATTTACATAGTCTGTGACCTCACTAATATTTACAAAAGACTGATAGTGCTGGGGTAATTTTGATGTTATATGTTTATTGCTTTCGATTTGCAGCCAGATTCTACTGCCACTGAAAGAGCAATTGCCAGATTAGCAGTTCACCCTCTTCTGAAGAAAAAAATAGATGTGCTAAAAGGTACGACTTAAATGGCAAGTCAGTATGCTTAATGTATTTAGGCAAATGCTTAATGTATTTAGGCAAATAGTTTCATTTTTTTCTAAACACTTAACATATATAACTCTGGAGATGTGTCTACAAGTATGAAAGATGTTTGATATAAAAAGATTAAATCTATTTTTTCTAAAACTTAGAATATATTATATGTAAAATTTGTATAAAGTATAAAGCACAATCATTGAATAATTGATGTTTTGAATATTTATATAACGCCTACTGCATCACATAAATTTATGAAATTAAGTACTTTATCAAAGATTAAATACCACTTATTTGTATGCCTGAAAACTAATGCAATGGCATTAATACAAAAATTAGTGTTGTCATTTTACTGTTTTCAGTGATACTTTTACTGTTCTTCATAATTCAGACACATGAAAGTAGTAATTTTCATTTTACAATTTAAGATGGATATCTCCTAGTGTGCCTCCTGAATTTGGCGTTTGAGTAATGAAAAGATTTCTTTGTGAGCTCATACTCCTGTTACATACATACTGTAGATTCCAGTTGTCCTCTTAAATGTTTCCATATAGCTGAAGCAATATTGTAACACTTTGTATGTGCCAATGCTGAAACAAGTCTTGCACTATCTTGCTTGCAGCTGCAGTACAAGCCTTCAAAGATGCAAGGCAGAATGCTCCTGAGGCTGAGTCATCAAAGACTGTTCCAGAAGAAAACCAGTGTCGGGACACTCTCTGTTCAAAAGATGATGCGAGCGAGATACAGCATCCTGAGAGAACTATTGTTAGTGAGCAGAAAGGAAAAGATGCCAAAACAATAGCAAAAAAAGCAGTGCATGATTTAAAAGGAAAAATGGCCACGATAGAACATGGACCCAAAGCTGTGGCCACCCCGTGTCCTCCAGAGATGCCTTCAGGAAAGGATGCTGTGGCTACCTCTGCATACCAGAAGGTGCCTTCTGACTCAAAAGGGAATGCCTCAACTGCAACCACAAAGAAAGAGAGTGAGCGCACCCTGGGTGAGAGCGGTGGCAGTGAGGAAGAGGGGAGCGAGGAGGAAAAGGAGTACTTTGATGATAGCACTGAAGAAAGGTTCTACAAACAGTCTTCTGTGTCTGAGGACAGCGACAGTGGTGATGACTTCTTCATTGGGAAAGTCCGACGGACACGGAAGAAGGAAGGCAGTATTCGGCCCTCGGCTAAGGAACAGAAGCCCCTCCCAAAAGTGTCACCCAAAACATACACACTTGAAACTGATTGGGATGTGAGAAATGATAAGCACAAGCTGATTCCAGAAGCCAGGAAGTTAGAATCCGTGTTTTTCCACTCTTTATCTGGACCTAAAAGCTCCCGGAGGTAAGGGCATATTTTTATTCTGAAATAATTTAGTTAAATTGTTTACTGTATGAAATGGCTGCATATCTCTGCAGTATGAGAGAAACTCCTCATGAACTTGCTCTGTGGCCACCAAGCTGGGTTTTGGCCTGGTGTTCTCCTCATCTTCATGATTAGCATGTAGAAATTCACATACAGCAGTGACACACTGCCCAGCTTCATGAGAGAGGTTCTGCTACAGCCCAGTACATGCATGCCTGGGTAATTTAGGTTTTGTTCTTCCCCATTGTTGGGTCTTCAAAATTTGGTATATTTTTTATGAAAAATGTCTGCCTAGATAAACAGAATTTTCAGATGAATGTATAGTAACCCACTCCAATTTCAAACATGGCTCCTCCCATGTTTTAATGCATGTGGCTAACTCTCTGCAGACCACTTTACATTGGGATGTTCTTCATCTCTGCTGATAGCCACTTCTCACAGCTGCTCACAGTTCATTTCATTCATCACTTTATCTGATAGAGAATACTAACACATTTTAATGTAGGTGCTGTGACTTCCTGGTATTTTCCATAATGACCCTTTTTTCTGTGTATTTATTGGTCAGAGATATTCTTTAATAAAATAATACAGTCTAAAATATTTTTTCTAAACGTAGCATAGAGAAGAACATCAAGCTACTTTAAAGCCTTGAGAGTAATTAAAATATTTACCTATCTGTCTCAGTCATACCCAAAAGGTTTCTAGGTTTTTCTTGGTTCTGTACCAAAAATGTGGGTGTTAATTTTCATTATGTGTAAATCTTTCTCCCCTTGAGAAAATGATTGAAGTTCTTTATATAGACAGTGTCCAAGAGCAAGATAGTCAAAATGGATTGTTTTCCACTGATTAGAAGTCCCTATGTGGGTGGAAAGGAAAGGGTGTGTGTGTGTGTGTGTGTGTGTGTGTGTGTGTAATTGAATGACTTTAGCTGAGTCCTGGATTATTTTATTTTCTTGGCTATTGGTGGAGTGAGCATCCTGAGGGTGAGCTTTATCATCCATTCAGTCATCAGAGAATTTGTTTTGTCTTTTAGCTCCTAATGTCGTTTTCTTTCTCTTTTTAGGGATTCCAGAGAACAGGCCCCAAAGAATAAAACTCCAGGTGTGTACTAATGACTGCTCAGGCTGACAAGCAGTACTTGGCCACAGTGAGAGGATGAAAATTGTCATCTCCAGATAATATTGCTGAATTGTGTACCCACACAAGTGTAAATGGGATGTCAGATCATTATCAACATCATTGCTATCGGTTCTTTTACCTTGTTTTGTCTCCCATGTTAGCTGAGCTGCTTGCTCTCTTGATGTTACTGTAGGAAAGATCGACTGACTCAGTAAGAATCCTCTTATAAGGATGAGCTCCAAAGTTAGCTCCTCCTATTATATTAGTCTTTTTAGTCTTTCACATGAAGCTGTTTTCTCTTGGACATCAGCTTTAAGTTGTGAGCTATTTTGTCGAAGTAAAATGAGATTCTGATGTAAAGAGATGCAATCTGTCCTGTTCCGTATTTAAGTTGTAATTTTTGTTTTCTCTTCCCAGATTTTCCAGAAAATGAACCTGGAATCAAGAGTCAGTTTACAAAGAGTGCACGAAGAAGGTTTGAGAGTGTGAAGCAGCAGGCACAAGCTCCTCTGCACCCTTCCTGGGAAGCAAGCAGGAGGCGGAAAGAGCAGCAATCCAAAATCACTGTGTTTCAGGGGAAAAAAATCACATTTGATGACTGATTGCTCATTGTCTTTCTGAGCTTTCTGTCAAAATTTTTGTGGTTTTTATTTTTAACTAGCCTATTATTTAAATTAGTGTCTTTGAGAGAGATATAAAATATATTGTTTTCCCTTTTTTGTGTGAGTTCGGAGAATGTTTACATAATCTTTTATAGATCTCTAAATTTGTTTCACAAGAGTGCTTGCCCCATATTATTTCTTATATAAAATAATTTAGAGGTTACAGAATGATTATGAAATATGTGTCACTAGTTAAACTTTGCCTATTGCCTTGAAAATAAGGCAAAACAGGGTTAATGAAATGGTTCACATCCTGCCAAGCCGCATGACCCAGATTTGACCCTGTGAGGTTCCTATGGTGGAAGGACAGAACAATAGTTCTCTGCACATGCACAGTGTGGGACATACATATGTAAACACGCACCTACACACAATAATGTTATAACATACCATTATTTAAAGTAATAGACAGTGAATCATGACTACTTAAAAATATATCATCTTTGTTACAAGATATTTTTTGTAAGCAAAACAGAGTAATTTTCATTGCAGATATAGCCATAATATAAATTAAATATTAATTTTTCATAGTTGCATTTACTTGTGTTTTTGTGTTCTATATACCCCTGTAATAAGTGTTTCCGTTAAATGAAGAATGGAGATCTAGACTCCTAGTTTCTTCTGTCTGCTTTGAGTATGTAAACAATGGAACAGATACCAGATACAAATGTCATACAAGAAATAAATGTATGATGTCTAGATATTTTAGCCATATGTTGGCTTGGGAGGCACAGTACTGAGAATTGAACCTAGGGCATCATACATTCTTGGTTCTGCATGCACTGTCACTGAGGATTTTGCTGTGTGGCTCAGGCTAGTGTTGGTTTTTTATTTTCCCCAGTGCTGGTAAGGCAGGTGTTTTCCACCACACCTTGCATTGAAATGTTTGTAGAAGAGTCATCAATGGTTAACTTGTAGGACAAATTCTAGAAGAAGGGGGGATTGAAATGGCTGAGTAGAGGAGCTATGACTTGCAACTGCCTGCCTACTTTATACAGGACAGTGACTAAAGAAAGGAAAAGAGAATTTTTTGGAAAGGCCTTTAAGTATTTGTCCTTTTATTGCTGTGGAAGACATGGAAGATCATTGGTTAGTTAAAGAATGCTGACTGAATTCCATGTTTCCTGCATGTTAGTGCTGTTAGAAGTTACCTTGGCCTTCCACTCACCCTGTAAGCAGGAGGTAACAAGTTCATATTCTATTTTACAAGTTTAGGAATATCAGTAGCTAGAACAGTGGAATTCAGATTGTGGTGTAGATAGGTTTTTTTTCTTCAGTCTGTACATCATTCCATGTACACACACACAAGTGAAAAAAATGTCCGTGTCTATCTCAGACTTACCCAAACTAAAGTTGGGAGTGCTTTTTAACAGATTTGCAAGTCCACCTAAGAGAGTTACTCCAGCTAGAAGTTGGAGATGGTCCACCTAAGAGAAGCCAACTTTTACATTTACTGTTGCAGTTTGTTACATGGAGACTTTACAATGGCAGTGAACTTGTCTTAGAACCTGGTTTACTTCTGCTTTGCTACAATGACTCCAGATAGATCAGCTGCTAGTGTGGGGTGGTTTCTGGTGACTTTGATCTCAGTATCTGGAGATGTTTAGGTTATTGCATGAAAGGTACTGCAGTTATCAGATAACATCTAGACACAGTACTGAAGTCTCTGGTAGTAAAGATCTTCATTTTGAGCCTAAAATGTTATGATTCAAAGGTTGAAAAACCCTGGTTCATGGCTTATGATTAAGACCACAAACTGCCTAGGCCTGTGTGAGCTCCTACATGTTCCATGGATCGAACTTCCACCAGATTCTTGAGGGAATCCATCCACAGATCTTAGTGTGTCCTACTTCTTCAGTATTTAGCCTTACAAGTTTTACTGACATTATCATACTGTCTCAGTGCTATCTCATCCCTCTGCAGACAATAAGCAGCTACCTAGTGCTTGTTTACTTCTTTTCTCTACCCTGCAGACACCGTCTTAAAACTGAAAGCAGGTGTCCAAACTCCTGGAACCAACTTTCTCTGAACTCAGGAGTTACTCAGGCTTGCAGTAGAGGATTTGTCTCAAAAATGACCAACTCTTGATAAAACAGTGATGGTTGGCACAGCTTAATTTGCCCATCCCCTACTGTAAACCCATGGTAGCCTTGAAAACCATTAGCCCATTATCACAGTGAAGAGCAGCCTGGCAGCTACTGGACATAAACAAGTTTGCACATCTACAGGGATGTTCCTAAGAATCGCCTGACTGGATGATTACTCACTGGCAGTGGCCCATTTGCCTTTGATGGGAGTGAGTTTGCTTAGCCTGATACCATTTTCTCCTATGCTAGCTCTTCAAAAACACAGGCAGTAGAAATCTGTTGTGTAAACAATATGTTATCCAAAAAGCCAAGAGGGAAATCTGAAGAAGTTAATGTCTGCTTGCTGGAGCTTTGGAAGTTTCTAGGACTCAAGTAATACTCAAGCTCAGGATGTGAATGCCTGCTCAGGACCAAACTGGAACGCTCTCAGCTCTCACCAGGGGGAGAGCACAGCCCATTAGATGGTGATGAAAGAATGTCTGGCCCGATGCTCAACAAGTACCGCTTCAGGCATTTAAAGGAATCCATCAAGTTAGCACAACACATAAAGCAGACTACAATGGTCTAACACATCAAAAGAACTCAACAAGAATAATTCCACAACCATCACTAGCCTTAGGCATAAGGAACTGACTTCACAAGTGTTTATTACTTAATGTGTCAAATTTCCAACAAGATATGGACAAGGTGTAGCCCAGTGCATAAGGAAGCAGCAATAAATAGAAATTGAGGAAGAGCAGATGTGGAACATATCTCAAAAAGACATCCAGTAAGCTAAATTAAATGTTAAAACATATAGGACACTTTAAAGAAACAAGAGAAAGCGTAGTGTAGCCTAAAAATAATGAGTTAGAAATAAAAGTATGTCTTGTAGCACTCAAGACTGAAGTAGGATTGAAAATGAGATTAAGCCTTACCAGCAGGAAGTAATTTGGGAAGAATGACACCCAAATTCCCAAATATTGTCTATAAATGTTTGTTTTCATTTAAATGGACTTGGTTATATAAAAGAGGAAGAAAGAAAAAGAAAGAAAGAAAATGAGGTTAAGCTAAATTCTGAAGTTGGAAAGCACAATTACCAAGTTGAAAAGTTGAGAAGGGATCCTATGTCAATTGATATGCAGTTTGAAGGACAGGAAATAAAAGATTGAGGGGCTTGAAGATAACTCAGATTAAGAAAACTTGCTGTTTGATTGAGGACCAGAAATCCTAACACCCAAGAGAAGCTTGGCATGCTGCAAAAGGCCTGTAACTCCAGCTCCAAGGAATCTGCATGGACACACACAGTCACATGAAAACAGATACATATTATACACATTTAAAAAAAAACAAACCAAAAAATGGGATGTAATCAGAGTTCAGTATTTCCAAAGACTAGGAAAATGTTCACATCCACAGAGCAAGAAATAGCTATACAACCAAAATGTCTGAATAGGTGATCTTCACATATGGTGAGTGAGATATTATTCAGCCATAAAGAAAAGTGAAATTGTGTTATTATAGCATGGGTGAACCAGAACGACATGCCAAATGAAAGAAATCTTGGATCAGTTATCTATCCCTGTATGTAATATTCTGCACTTCAGTATAGTAGATAATACCCATCAAACAGCTTTTGGCTATTTGGAAATTAGAGCTAGTCTACCCAACATTTGATACCAGTTTTGTAATGCATAGTTCATCCAGACTCCTTAGTTTCAACCTGCTCGAGTTAGCCACAAAATAATACATTTTCCATTTTGTGTCACTTCTTGGCCTGCTTATTCGAACACCCTAAGTCATAAGACAACATGCAAGAATATGAAAGGAGTTTGTTGTGGTATGTAGGGCTCTTCATCTGAACAAAGTTTTGTGTGACTTGGAAAACAAAATATTACCAAGTCAACTTTATTGCCCATGTTGAAACAATTTCCTATCAACCAATATGATGCTTTAATTGTAGTCATAAACAGATTGAAATTTGTTCAATTGAAATTCAATGTGGGGCTTGTCTCTTATCTCCTGTGTCTCTTCTCGTGCACATCCAATGTAGACTCATCTCCACAAATCCAGAAGTGTATTTGAGCTCGCCTTATTGTGATGGACCAAGGGCTGAATAGGGTTAGTCCACATTCACCTGTAGCAATTTATCAAAATTTGGGCTGAATACCTCTAAGGCAGTGGTTCTCAACTTTCCTTATACTGCAACCCTTTCATACAGTTCTTCACATTGTGGTGACCCCCCCCCCCACCATAAAATTATTTCCATTGCTACTTCATAACTAATTTTGCTAGTGTTATGAATCATAATGTAAATATTTTTGGAGATAAGAGGTTTGCCAGAGGGTCATGCCCTCTAGGTTGACAATCACTGCTCTAGAGCAACCCTATTGCTATGCTCTGTTACAGACAAGCCAGACCATAACCTGTGGCTCCTAAAAGATGGCTGCACTTTACTAGATCTGTTTTTCCCACTACTGCCTCACTTCTCTGATGGAGTCAAGAAAAGTTCATTTATTTAGTTTATCCCATTCGTAGTTTTCTAATGATCTCTACCTCTATATGTTCTGTGTCCCAGTTTCATTGCTATGGATCATCATTCATGCTATAGATCTAACTTATATAATAAATTTCATAAATCACTACAACCTTCCTGCCTGTGCTTTATGCCTTGCTTAAGAGAGCCCACCCCGCGTTGGGGGAAAAAATCTGTCATAAGATGAGCATCCCTGCCATCTTGTTCAGCATACCAAAAATGTCAGGACCTGTTGCTTGCTGGGGAAGGCATCCAGTGAGTTATATCATTGCAAGGATAACCATGTTCTTTTTTCAAGCTGTATTTATGCTGACCAACCACAACGGATGGGTTCTAACTCCCTAGTACAAAACGTTCCTGTCCTCTAGTACAATCCACTGCATGTGCAAGAGTCTACAATGGTTCATTGTGTTTCCTCTACAGGGCTTTGGATAATATAGGCGTATAGGAAAGGTCAGCCATTAGGCTTTGGTTACTCAAATTTTGCACATTCCCAAGATTCGCCTTTCATCTGGACCCCTTTGGGAAGCAATCTCTGAACATTGCTGCCTGAAAAGAAGAACTTGGGCCACTGAATACTTTTTTGATCAGATAGTGTGTCTAGCAAAGTGATTCATGAGTATCTGTATAACCTGGGGAAACAGAACAGGCAAAGTAGCACCAGTCAGTCATGAAAATATATCTCTTTGTGTGTGTGTGTGCCTGCATGTGTGTAAAGTTGATTTAATAAAAACCTGAAACACCATGGTTCAGGTGAGCATGCTTGCTTGGAAAGACATCCGGTGAGTTATATCATTGCAAGAAGTAAGCACAACCTGACAAAACCCTTTAGGACCTCTTTCTTGTCTGCTTCCGAGGAGATTAACTTGTATTATAAGTTGACAATGTGACCAGTGAGTTACTGCTAGAAAAAGAATTTATGTTTAACATTTCT